CTGTAAGAATAGACTGCTAGTAACTATTCCCAGCCAGTACTCCAAGATTTTTCTAAAGAAATGGTCTAATTTGCTCTATAGAAAATGACTTAATTTGAAGTTGTATTAATTTTCCACACCAAGGAAGGAAGCCTTTTCCCTCTCCAAATCTTTTCTGTAATTGAAGTGTAGTGCATATTTTCACTTTATAAACTTCACTTTTATGCTGGTACCTTTTAAAGAGCTTCGGTTTCCTAAGGGAAATGTTTGTTTTTGACACAACCACCATGGGCAGCTGTGTATTTGTTAAATAGCCTCAACAAACTCAAGGAAATTTATCTGAAATGTAAATGACAATATTGAAAGCAGTTCAGCTTTTCTTTGAAGGCATAAAAAGGCACGAATCAGCCCTCTGAGAATAAGTCAGGTGCTTTCTTTTATTCATTTAGGTATCAAATGAGCCTGGCAATCGCTATAACCTACAGCTCATCAATGCACTGGTGCTCTATGTCGGGACTCAGGCCATTGCACACATCCACAACAAGGGCAGCACACCCTCAATGAGCACCATCACCCACTCGGCTCACATGGACATATTCCAGAACCTGGCTGTAGACTTGGACACTGAAGGTGAGTGAAGCCAGCAAGTTCTCAGAGTCAAGTTTTCTGCACCTTAAGCTACAGTCCAGTCATAAAAATACATTAGAGAAATAATGTTCTGTCAGTGTTTATGGCTCTGTCTGGCTATTTTATTTTTAATTGGATAGTATCTGCTCAATGCAGAAAACTATAAAGGACAAAATCATCCAGAATTCTTCCCATATCAGTTAATATTTCAGTATATGACTGCAGTATTTTTTTAGTGTGAAAATAAACATGTTCCTTTTATTAGCCTCTCTTTAAAAATAGGCTTGTTACACTGTTTTTATTAACCTGCTTTTTCCCCATCACCTGCTGGTGCTTATTTGGTAGGCAGCATTTTAATATTAGGCATTATAAACTTTAATGAATTGGACTTCCCCTACTTGTTCTGCAAAAAGCTCACAATATAATTCCTACTACAGGTTGCATTTTGCCTGGTTGGTTACCATTATGTTCAGAGCCCAACAAAAAGAAGGTAGCCTTTAGGGACACCTTAAAACTGTGATAGCCTTACAAACATGAGTAATATCAGACAGAGGCAGACAACCAAACCTAGTTAATAAAGTGTGGTCTGTGAACCTCTGATAGAGTTCAAGACCCTTTTAGAAGGGCTGTGAGGTAAAAACTATTTTCATAATAATATCTTGACTTTTTTTGTACTCATTTTGTTATGAGGGTACAGTGTAGTTTTCCAGAGGTTACATGAAATGTAACACTGGAACAGATGGGACACAGGCAAAAATGAGAATTCAGCCATCTTCTGTTAAGTGACATTAAAGAGATTATGTAATGTAAAACAGTGACATACTTCATTAAATTTTTTTAGGGAAATACTTTAAAACTTTTTAATGTGGAAATATTGAAATAAGATCCACAGCAATGAAAAAGGACTACAGGATAATTTAAAAGCTTATAGCAGAAGAAATCCAAATCCTAGCCAATCAGAATGACTTGCTTTCTTATTTTGGTCTTACAGAGCAAGTCCTCACTAAACTGAGTTTTCTTGATTTTTTTTTTTTTTTTTTTTTTAGGTCGGTATCTCTTCTTAAATGCAATTGCAAACCAGCTGCGGTACCCAAATAGCCACACTCACTACTTCAGCTGCACCATGCTGTACCTTTTTGCAGAGGCCAACACTGAAGCTATCCAAGAACAGATCACAAGGTAAGAGAGAAGTTTGTTTTCCAGGTGCTTCTACCCCTTTATTGTGAATTCTCTTGAATGTTTTTCCTGTGCATTGAGCATCTTTTACATGTGTTCAATGTGGGATGTAATTGTGAACAAAATGGACATGGTTCCTGTCTAGTAATTAGTCTGAATCACAGGTCATAATCATTGCTGAAATAAAAAGTAGTTTTCAATAAAAGACACCAGCATTTTGATTTAAGATCATGTGGTGGTGGTGCAATTTTTAACCAGTCCTGAGTTATACAGGCCAGCCCATGTTAAAGCACGTGGACTTATCACCTATAGTTTAGAAGGTTTTTTAAAGTTGCCTCCTCCCCTAATAGTAGTTTATACACCAGTATTCCTTAGATTTATACACCAAAAATTAACTAGTGATAATGTCCTATCTTGTAATTATTTATAAAGCTGCAGTCAACTTCCTTGTACTTAAATCTGTGTTCTTGTGCTTTATTATTTTCTCGGTAAATTTAGAAGTACAGTTGGCTAGGTAAAAAAAAATGAGTATTTCGGTCAATACTAACTGCCATTCAGTATTAGAATTTGCTTCCTATTTCCTTTCATTTAGTGCATACTTTAAGTGATTACTTTTTTGTACCATGTAGTCTGATGTTATCCTAACTTCACCTTAACTTGGTCTTCTAGGCTCAGTAATGAATTAGGAAATCTGGGTTTGAATCCAACCTATTCTCAAGAATCCACCTGGGTTATTAACCATGCTATATAGAATACAGAGATTAATCCACTTGTCTTTAGTAAACTAAAAGTTAATAGCTTTACTAATCAGGGAGAAGAGTTAGGGATCCTGAATTTGGTGCATTAACTCACTCATTCTCCCCTTCTCCAGGGTTCTCTTGGAACGGTTGATTGTAAATAGGCCACATCCTTGGGGTCTACTTATTACCTTCATTGAGCTGATTAAAAATCCAGCATTTAAGTTCTGGAACCATGAATTTGTACACTGTGCCCCAGAAATTGAAAAGTAAGTTAAAAGATTTTTTAATTGTCTGAGAATGAGAATCATTTGATGGCTTCAGCCTGGGTGGATCATTAAGGCAGCAGTTAATTGTTAAAGCTACACACAGTGTTGCCAGGCCTGATCTTTGGGGGGTGGGGAGTGTCAATACTCACTTGAGGGTGTCTTTTTCCCATTGCTTTTCAGAGAGAGATGTATGTGAGAGACATATTGACTGGTTGCCTCCCACACACATACAGATGGGGGTGGGACATGAACCTGAGATCCTTTGGTGTGGTGTGCAGGCTGATGCTCTACCCACTGAGAACACTGGCCAGGCCTGAACTTTTCTCACAAACTTAACTCTTTCCCTTCAGGTTATTCCAGTCCGTCGCACAGTGCTGCATGGGACAGAAGCAGGCTCAGCAAGTAATGGAAGGGACAGGTGCCAGTTAGACGGAACTGCATTTCTGTTGTAAATGTGTCAGCCTGGATGTCCCACAGCATCAAGTCCATAAACTGGCTGAGGAAGCCTTTCAGCTCTTCCTGACTTTCCCAGCCCTTTGGTTCTCAGGAACCTGCCCCAGTTAGTTTGGGCCAGCTTCCTGTCTATGTGGGCACGTTCCAAAGTTTAAATGCATTTTTTTGACTCTTGGCCAAAATTTAGAAAATGCTGTGAATATCATTTTGAACTTGTGTAAATACATGAAAGAGAAAACCTTTGTCTGGAACTTCTTGGGTTTGTGCAAAAAGTGTCAAAGGCACATACATAAACTGGTAACTGCCCATCTCATGTGAAGAGGCTGCTGCTGCCATGTACTTGCCTGGGGGCATAGCTCCACGTCTTGACATTCCTGGTGTCCCAAAGAAGAAGCAAAAAAGCCAATTTAAATATTACATAACATTTTTTTTAATGTGGACCTTGAAAATCACAAAAGTTGGTGAGTATGATAGAATTTAGCATACAATTTGCTTTGTCCCTGCCCCAGATCTAAAGTTGACTGCTAGAGAACATGCTCTTTTTACAAAGGGAAACACACCAGGTCTAAAGCATGCACCGCCACCGCCACCACACCCGCCCCTCCAAATCTCTCCTGATGCTTGTAAATTGAGGAAAGGGAACCAAATAGTATCAACTGCCCTCCCCCTTTATCCCAGGCTAAGATGAATAACAACAAAAAGTCAAAAGGACCAACACAACCTCTTTTGTAAGGATTTTGAGTGTTTTGTAAATGTATTGGTCCAGTGTTATACCCTGTAGCCTTTCCAGTTCTTGGCCGTTAGCTCCCCTACTTCTTGTGTGTGCAGACTGTAGTCAGTGCAACATTAAAGTCATGACACACATGCCAGTCCACTGTGCCTTTCCTCAGGAGCAGCAGCCAGTGCTGACAGTCCACCCTTGCAAAGCCTGGGGACTTTGGGAACCAGCTTTATGCTAAACGGTAGATCTTTCCCACTAGTTTTGAGCCTGTTTGGCCTGTTCAAACAAGCAAAAAAAAGTCTTTGTTTGTTTCTTCCTGCTCCTTTTCAATAGAAAATTGTTAGAGCAGGTTTCTATGGTTAAACAATTACAAAATGCCCTTTAATTTTAAAAGAAAGGAGTAGGTGTATATGTGAAACTTACACCTTTAATGGCTGTCAAGTTTATGGCCAGAGAGGACAAAAAGGTCCAAAATTAACTAGAAAATCTTACATGATGCGGGCTTGAATGTCATTGGTGTCTCAGGGTTTCTTCCCTGAGGGTGAGTTGTCCCATCTAGAGCAAACTTCAGACTGCTGAGGAGTTAAAACATGCTCTGAGTGCCAGTGACATAGCTTATTAAATCTTTATAAAAAAGTAAGTTAAGGCAGCAGTTCATTGTCAAAGCTACACACAGTGTTACCAGGCCTAAACTTTGGGGGGTGGGAATCCACTTGAGGATGTCTTTTCTGTTCCAAATAGACTCAATTTTAACCAGGTCTACTTTCAAAGTTCGTGTTATTAAACACTACACTAGACTACAAGACCTTTTATTATCACAATCAAATTTCTGCTAACTTTGGTCCAAACTAAGAACAAAACAGCTATAAAGTGTTTTGGTCTTAAAAAGTTAAAAAAAGGGGGGGGCATTGTTCATTGTCAAAGCTACATTACCAGGCCTAAACTTTGGGGGGTGGGGGGTGGGAATCCACTTGAGGATGTCTTTTCTGTTCCAAATAGACTCAATTTTAACCAGGTCTACTTTCAAAGTTCGTGTTATTAAACACTACACTAGACTACAAGACCTTTTATTATCACAATCAAATTTCTGCTAACTTTGGTCCAAACTAAGAACAAAACAGCTATAAAGTGTTTTGGTCTTAAAAAGTTAAAAAAAAGGGGGGGGGGATTGGTCTTGGTGACAATTAGAGATTCCCAAGTCTGCTGTTCCCAACCCTTAAACATGTCCCCTTACCTCAGAGTTCATCCTAGCACACCTTTGCTCCTTTGGCTTTTCTTATTAACCACCAAAAGGAAAGATCCAAATTTTCCTCCTTTTCAAGCATCAATGAATATCAGCTTAGAAAAGTCCTTCTCATGGGATGTTCCTTCAGGCAGCAGGGAATCCGCTTAGCTTTAACCTGTCAGTTCCAACAGCTGGTGTAAGATCATCTTCTGCCCATAACGAACCTGTAAGGCCTGCTGCTCCCTCCAGCTGAGTTTGCTGTAGGCGTCCTTATTACCGAGTAAATCTTGCTCAGCTTTTAAGTCTGTGGCATAGGCTTGCAGGGTCAACAGAACACTGTCCCGAAGAAGCTGTCTCCATGATTCTTTGAGCCTGGGGATATTTGTGATCGCCAGGCTGTCCTCTTCCCTTTTATCTCCCCATCCATCCTGTTCTTTTAAAACTCTGAACTCCTCAGCAGACATGCACAGGACCTAGAAGCAACCATGGGCCCTTTAATTAGGATTTGCCACTTGTGTGTTTCTGAAATTGATGTAGAGATGACAACCTATCTTGGTAGCATTCAAATATCCTCTTCCCTTCATCCCTCCTTTCCTCCCTCACCTGGCTCTATAGCTTTAAATATGAAGGCTGCTTTGAGCATTAAATAGCCGTTTGGGGCCCTTTACCTTGAGTGTGGTGGTCAGTTCCTCTTCAGTCAGCACCTCTTCCCGCCCAATCACAAAGGCTCCCTCCTCCCCTACCATCTCTAGTTCGCATAAGTAATCCCAGCGTTCGCACAGCTGGAGCCTTTCGGCTTCATCTTTTGCTCCTGTAGATAGAAAAGTAGTGTGAAGCCTCAGTATATCAAAGGTCGTTTCTTAGTCTACCCCTAGTCTGCAAAAAGGAACTGTTAGCAAAGCGCCTGGGGCGGGGACAGGGGAAAGAGGCACATCCACGTGTCCAGGATTGAGTCAATCAGGCACTCACCCTGTAATGCTGCCTCTCGCACTGTCACCATCTGAATGTCAGCTGTGTCATCTGTGTTGTCAGGGTATGGCTCAGCAAAGCCATACATGTGAATCAGCTGCCAATTAGCCATTTGCCCGTAAGTGTTGAAAATCTCATGGCCTTTGGGAATAGGCTGAGTAGCCACCATCCGAAGACAGTTCTGGAGTGGAAGGGAGCAGCTGGGACCAGGCCCTTCCCTTCCCCGCCCCATGATTACTCCCCCCTTAGGAAGACCCTCCAGCAGGCCTGTTCAGCGATGGGATTGATGCTATACCCACCAACAGGAACTTCCACACAGTAAACAATTTAATGAGCACTGGCATCATCTTACGCCGCTTACCTGCTGCCCACACCCTGGCATTGTGCAGAGCAGCCCGCCTCCAGCACCAAAGAAATGATGGCAGTCAAGTTCATCAGAGGATTAACCACAAACATGAGAATTTCTGTGCTCAAACTATTTCACTGGGAGACGCACGTACAGGAGGCGCTAACTTACTCCTTTTCAGGACCAGGAATGTGGAGCCTATTTAGCCTAGTGGCCAAGCAGCCATAAATGACAGGCACTGGTCTGAATCATGCCCAGTCATCAACACACCTACAAACGCACTGGGAGGGGTCCACTCACTGGAGAGTATTCTAGATTGGCATTGTGATTGGCTACGTGGTTTAGTATGTCTGCGGCAGGCACCATCAAAGGGGGGTTTGGCTCCTTTTCATCCTCCTCTTCCTCCAGGGGTTCCTGAAAGCTACCAGAGAGAACTTGGCTGAAGCCCAGAGCAGGGAGAGGGGCTGGGGTGGGGTTCACTGTGCTCTCCCCTCCTGTCCCTCAACAGCGTTCTAAAGAAAAGGGGCCTCCGAGCTGCTCACTGACCTATAGGCCATCACGAGAGCCACGAGCTGCTGGTAGAGTTCCAGGGAGCGAACCCTGGGGCTGAAAAGGTCGGGGTGGGCTTCCATGAAGGGCAGCACGACGGAATGGTACTCGCTGCGGATGTTGGCCAAATCCTTTTCCACGGCCTCGGGGACCCCTGTCCCCTGCAGCAACCGCCGGCGCTCCCCCTCCGGCCTGCAGGGAAACCCTCGTTCCCTTCACACGCCCCACCGAGAACAGTGCTCCGGAGGCAGCCTGCCCCCCACCCCTCCACGGCTCTCACCAGAACATCGGGTGCTCCAAGCGGCCCAGCTCGGGCCAGAGCGCAAAGTAGGGGCTCCAGGGTGAGGCCGGGGCCTGCAGCTCGTGGAGGAGCGCCAGCAGCAGCGGCACCCAGCCCCAC